GGGAGACTTCTGAGAAGCAAAAAAAGCTCTTAAAGTGGACCTGGAAATGTCCCAAGTGTGGGTCATTTCTTTAACTAAAGAGATGAAACGACAAGAGTTGGAGATCGAGAGAAAGGCTGCTGACTGGTCGATCCAGTCAATTTATGCCCTTAGGCCAAAGAACCCAACCATGGACCTTACTGACCTCCCAGATGATTACCAAAGGATCTTTGCCTCTATGGCGCAAGCCGATAATGAGGCAGATCAAGGACTTTATCCGGAAGACGATCATCTGAAGGAGTATGTTTCGGGGGACCCAACAGCTGACCAAGAGGTCGACGACTAGCCTGGAGATACCAAGGTCGCACCAGAAAGGCCTAGGGACGAAAACCAATGATTGCTTCTACCTCTACTTTTCCCACAACTTTGCTTAACTGTCTCTGCATAGTCTCCTATACTAAATGATTTTTGAATGAAATTGATCACTTTCCAAATTATTTGTGAGTACTTATAATTTTTCACACTTCACAAACATTATATATGTGAACAGAAAGATAAAGAACAATGCGAGTAACAAAATCACATTTATACAAGATGAATTTGACTTAACAGTTATCTTAATTATAAAAGCTTCACAAGGGAATCTTTACAAGGAAAAAAACGAGTTCGAATTACTGATAATAAGGGCGAAGATGCTCAGCATTCCAAGCTTGTGGTACTTCAGAATCGTTGAGCCTTTAGAGGTGATAAGTCCCTGGGTGTATCACCTTAGCGATGCAATAGGGGCCTTCCCAGTTTGGTTCCAATACTCCCGCGCTCGGTTCCTTTGTACTGAGAAGAACTTCTTTCAGAACCCGGTCACTAACCTGAAAGTCTCTTCTCCTGACTTTAGAGTCAAAGAATCTCTTCGCACACTACTGGTAGGTTGTTATCCTTAACCAAGCTTTGTTGCGGTGTTCTTCAACTAAGTCCAGACTTGCACGCAAAAGTGCTTTATTGTCTGTTTCATTGAACAGGTCTCTCCGAAGTGAACCACTAGGACCATTGCCTCACAACCATATGCTAGCAAGAAGGGTGTTTCTGAAGTAGAGGTTCTCGGAGTTGTCCTGTATGCCCATAGGACTTCTGGGAGGTTATCGACCAAATTTTCCTTGGCAGCGTCAAGCTTAGCTTTCAAAGTATGCTTGATGGTCTTGTGGTCTTACGATTAAGGTGAACTTTTTATAGATCCCTAACTCATCGCAAACCTGCTTGAATTCCTCGTTGTCGAACTACTTTCCATTATCAGAGATGAGCATATGAGGAATTTCTTAGCGGCACACTATATTTCTAAAGATGAAGTCCTTGAGTTTCTTGGTGGTGATCATGGCCAATGGCTAAGCTTCGGCCCACTTGGTGAAATAATCCACCGCGACCACAACATACTTGACTCATCCCTTTCCAGCTGGCATGAGTCCGATAAGATCAATCCCCCACATGGAGAATGGCCAAAGGCTGGTCATAGTTATCAGGTGGTGGGGAGGAGCTCGTGCTATGTTCGCGAACCGTTGACACTTGTCACATATTTTTACAAAGTTGAAGGTATCTTCATAAAGTAGGGGCCAGTAGTACCCTTGACGAACAATTTTACTGGCGAGAGATCGCACGACAATGTGATTACCACAGATCTCTTCATGTATCTCCCTTATGATATAGTCTGCTTCCTCATCGGTTACACATCGGAAGAGAGATGTGCTAAACCCTTGTTTGTATAACTGATCTCCTATGAGTGTGTAACGAGCAGCTTTGGTCTGTAGGGTTCTTGCCTCAATTTTTTCATTAGGCAAGGTACCATCTCGGAGATACTAAATAATTGGGGTCATCCAGGAAACTGATCATATTGTAACCACGGCGTATTCATGCGAGCTGATACTAGGGATCTCCATGTACCGAATAGGAATACTCTCTGGGGTATCTGAGTCCAGCGACGAGGCTATTTTTGCTAAGGCATCCACGACAGAATTACTGTCTCTCAAAATCTACGCGATCGCGAAGTGCTTAAAAGACTCGAATGGGCCCTAGCTTTCTTCAGATAGCTGATCATGTTTTCTTCTTTGGCTTGATACTTTCCCAAAATCTTATTAACAACCAGCATGGAATCGTTGTGAATATTGATTGCGTTTGAACCCATTTCTTTTACCAACCATAGACCAGCAAGTAGTGCTTCATACTCGGTCTCGTTGTTGGTAGCTTTGAATCCAAACTGGAAAATACTGTGGATGCGAATTCCTTCGGGACTAAAGAGGAGAAGGCATACCCAGACCCCTTCCTGTTCGAGGATGCATCGACATAAAGGCTCCACGTCAATAGATTCTGAATAGTTTTCTAGGTGACTTCGTTGGACTATTGCTCGGATTCCTGGATCGGTTGGTATGAAAACTCCGAAATGAAATCGGCAATAACCTGCCCTTTGATGGTTGCTCTCGGTTTGTACTATAGATCAAACTGACATAGTTCCATCGCCACTTGAGCAACTTACCTGATGCCTCTGGCTTCTGAAGGACTTGCTTGAGCGGGTAGTTGGTCAATACATGGATAGCGTGGGCATGGAAATAAGGTCGCAACTTCTTGGAGGCAATCAGTAGGGCATAAGCTAATCGTTCCATTTCTGGACACTGTATCTCTACGTCCAGCAGACGCCTACTCGCTTAATATACTGGCCATTGGACTTTGTTTTCTTCCCGAATCAGAGCTGCATGGAGCACATATAGATACAAGAGAAGAATTTCTTGAGGGAACGGCTTGGACAAGAGAGGGGACTTTCCGAGGTGCTCTTTTAACCTATGGAAAGCCTGTTCACAGTCTGGAGTCCATCCGAACTTCTTGTTGGCCTTGAATATATTGAAAAATGGCAAGCAGCGATCTGTTGCTCTCGATATGAAGTGATTAAAAGCCGTTATTCGCCCATTAAGACTTTGAACCTGTTTTTGGTTGGTCGGGCTGCTCATATCAAGGAGAGCTCGAATCTTTTCGAGGTTGATTTCTATTCTCCTCTAGTTAACCATATACCCCTGGAATTTTCCTGAGGATACCCCGAATGAACATTTAAGAGGATTGAGCTTCATTCTATACCTCCGGAGCATACCAAACATCTCAGCGAGATGTGCTATGTGATTTGAAACGACATGCGATCTGACCAGCATGTTATCAACATAGACCTCCATTGATTTTCTGATCTGCTTGAAAAACATTCGGTTAACCAGTCGCTAGTAAGTCGCCCCAGCATTTTTTAGGTCGAAAGGCATAACTTTATAGCAATACAACCCCTGATCCGTAACGAAGGAAGTATGTTCTTCATCCAGTGCGTACATCAAAATCTGATTATATCCCGAGTAGGCGTCCATAAAACTTAGTAGCTCATGCCCGGAGGTGGCATCGATGAGCTGGTCGATTCTCGGCAATAGGAAGTTATCCTTCGAACAAGCTTTATTGAGGTCGGTGAAGTCAACGCAGGTTTGCCATTTACCGTTGAGCTTCTTCACCAAAACCGGGTTGGCAACCCAACTTGGGTAGATTACCTCCTAGATGGACCCATTTGAGAGAAGGTTATCTACCTCAACTTTCAAGGCGGCATACCGCTCGGAGTCCATTGCTCTCATTTTTTGACAAACCGGCCTAACCTGACTATCAATATTCAAGGCATGGCATATAACATTCGGGCTAATCCCAACTATGTCAGCATGAGTCCATACGAATACGTCCACATTTTTCCTAAGGAAGCTTGTCAGGTCGTTGGCGAGCTGAGGGCTGAGATTACTCCTGATCCTCAACACTCGAGTCGGCTCGCTTTGATCGATCAATACCTAAGATAGGTCCTCGATTAGCCTGCTATGGGGGCATTCTTGGACGTGAGGATCTATATCATCCTCAACCGGGCCAGGCTGTGGCTTAATCCTGCTGATTGCCATTGCCTGCTTGGGGATGCTAACCGGTACCCTCTTTCTCTTGCATACCATCTATATTGCCCTTACATAGCAGTCGCGAGATGCGTGTTGAGATCCATTTTTTTCCGCTATCCCCATCGAGGTGGGGAACTTCATTTTCAAATGGTATATCAAGGTGACTGCCTTGAAGTTTTGTAGTAAGGGTCGCTCCAATATGCCATTGAAAGAGGACAGACGGTCTACCACCAGAAACTCAGTCATCTTGGTCATCTCATTGGTTTCTCCCAACATGACCGGGAGCAAGGTCGTCCCCCTGGGGATCAAATGATCCCTAGTGAAACCATACAAAGGGATAGAGGCAGGCTTTAGATCTACCTCGTCCAATTTCATCTTCTCGAAAGCTTGCTGGAACAAGATATTCACGACGCTTCCATTGTCCACCAACATCCTGTGGACTTTGCACCGACCTATTTCAAGCGTGATGACGAGAGCATCATCGTTGGGATGATGCAATCGCACCGCGTCTTTCTCGGAGAAGGTGATTTCCTCCTCACAAAGAACCTTGGCTGGTCGCGGCGCCGTGCTCATGACACTTAAGAGTTCATGACAGGCTTCCCGAGCATACCTTTCTTAGGCACCTCAAGAATTCCCCGTGAGGTGTGGTCCTCCAAAGATTATCCCCGCACTGTAGAGACCATTGTGACCACAACACTTCTTTCCTAATTCCTCCTGATTTTTCTCCCGAACAAGAGCTGAGTCATCGACAAATTCTTTGAAGTGCCCCTATTTAATGAGGTCCTTAATTGCCTGCTTGAGGGCCCGACACTCATCGGTGTGCTACTCCCAATGATAACGGCAGTACTTTTTATTGTTTCTAGCTGAGGGGGGAATCTTCATGGGCTCAAGCTCTCTGAGCAAACCAGCCTCTTCTGATTTATCCAGAATAGTCGATACCGAGTCATTCAAAGGAGTGTATTAACTATTGTCACGATCGCGACGAGGAATTGGGGCATAAGATTTCTTGGGCTCATGTCGTTGCTTCTTTTCTTTTCACTAATCATCATTAGCCCATCTGCGATCATCCTTTCTATTTTCTCCTCAGTTGGGAGAATTGCCCGAAGGACCCAGGTCATGGCGATTGAGAGCGGCCACGAAACTTTCAATACAGGGGTACTTTTCAGTAAGGTTGTAGAAGCGAGTAAGGGAAACATCATTCTCAGATTGCAGTTCCTTCCATAAGTATGTATGCAGGCGAACTCCCGCAATGATGAGAGTCCGAACAGACTTTTCGGGAGTGTGAGCCACTTTGTAGAGCTCCCTAATGAACCTATCTATATAAGATTGGAGGGTTTCACCCATCTCCTGCCGTATATTGCTCAGGTAGCTTAGCGGTATCGAGAACTTCCTGTTTGCCTGGAAGTACCTCAGAAACGTCGAGCTTATGTGAGGTCATGAGCTGACCGATCCTGCTGGAAGCAACCTAAACCAGCGCTTCGCATGGGCAATAAGGGTTACTGCCAAGCAACGACATTTTGCCAAGTCAGAGACTTGGTGGAGGTCCATGAGGTTGTTAAAGTCGTATAAATGATCCTGCGGATCAGAATTCCCATTGAATGCTCTCATGTCGGGCATTCTGAATCTCGATGGGAGGAGGGCAGCCAACACTGTTGGAGAAAAGGGAGACGGACGCTTCTGCGACCTACCTTTGCTCATTCTACTGAGCCTTAAGCTAATCTAGAGCTCGCTGTAGTTCCTCCATTTGAGGCCGCAGAGCTACCTGGGGATCACTCTTCGCAAAGTGGGTTCGACCTTCGCTGTTGCGGTTGAGGAAAGACTGTAAGTCAGACTCTTCCTCATCTCGGTCGGGAGCCTTGGCCAATCTCAACACACGCTGGCTGGAGCCGTGTGATGGCATTGAGCGATTCAGGGAGTCTTCCAGACCTCTGCAGTGGTACAAATTGACGATAGGGATCTCCTGCACGACGATGATCTAAATCATCATTCTGGCGATATAGGGAATTTTCCAGTCCTGCACCTTTACGGGATTGCCCGTGCGACATGATGTGGGACGGCTCATGCTGCGACATATCATTAAGTCGTAATGCCATGGGTAATCTACCCAGGGAGCAATTGATGTTCGCTAGTCCATCGAAGCCCTTAGGTCTGCTGTGCGTCACTTGCTTTCCCTTTCTCTGATGCGCTGCAGTGCGCGTAGCATGGGTTTTCGCCCTTTTCCGCGCTTTCACGTGACCTGCAGGCATTTTTTACGGTAGTTGATAATCCAAGGATTATACTATTTTATTTAGGCTTTTTGGCCAGATTTTAAATACTTCTTAGTTCATTTATGCTTGAATTGCTACTTAATTCTATATATTTTATGTTTCAGGCCGAAACATGCATTTTTAGCAAATAATGAGCGAATTGGAGTTTCTGGACCCAGAAGCAAGTGAATCTCAGAATTTGGGAAAGTTTTGACGCAGAGTTGAAGCACTATGAAGTTTGTTCCCATGGGAAAGCATCGAAAATCGAAGATTCAAGCAAGGAAGCAAGCAGAGGGCAATTATGTAAATTTAGAATTTTCCAGGAAGGTTCACCATGGCGAAAGAAGCTAGGCACAAGATTCACTTGAGTTTGTCGTCGCGGCAAAATTCTTTCTTTGCCGCGGCAAAGTCTGTGAAATTTTGTTTTCTCTAAAATGCACAGTTTTATTTTAGGAAATGTTTTAGGTTTCGGGGGGAACTATATAAAGAAAACCTTGCCATTTTGGTCGAGGTTCGTCTGGTTTTCGTCTGGGTTAGAGTAGCTTTTACATTTGGAGAGAAGATTTGAGTGTTAATCTTGTGGATTCTTCAACTAGGGGAGATCTCTACTCTTTTCTCTATATTTCAATATGTTGATTACTGGGTTTATTGTTTTTCTTGCTGTTTGTGTTAATTTAGTTATGAACTAACCCATTTTGGGTTAGGGTTTTGATGTAATTTGGATTTCTATGGATTAATCAATTGATTATTGTTGCCTTTATATTCTATTGCATAGATTGTGTGATTATTCTGAATTTTATTGATTTTACTTGTTGAACATGATGAGATTGAGAAATGAGTCTTGTTGAGCTTCTTGGATAATCACCATTGTTATTTTGAATGCTAGAGATAGATTTGAGAAACAATGAAATCAATCTAGGATTCCATTAGCTTAATGAACTTGGATTTGTTAATCTTTGAATTGTTGGGTGAGGAAGATTAATAGGGAAAAGTAGGAATTCATAGCCTGAGAATGTATGTTTTACAACTTAGGGAATTCGGTTTACAATCCGTACATGTGAGTGTAAAAGTAGCGTAATCCACAAAATTAATCCATAGAGTCCGAATGAAGTCAAACCCTAACCTTTTGTTTTAATTGATATTACTCTTGTGTTAAATCTTACTTTCATAATTTAGTTGTTTTTACATTTAGTAAATTTTGCTTTCAGTTAAGTTTTATATTCTCCCATAAATCCAAACAATTTCCAGTTTCTCCAACTTGAAAACAAATAGGAAATTCAGTGCTTAGCAAACAATCCTTGTGGGAACGATACTCACTCATCACTTTATTACTTTGTGCGACTAGTGCACTTGCTATATTTGCATGTTGTAGTAACAACGCATCAGTAGCACGGCCTCATTGGATTCGGGTGGCATGACCTGATCCAATCAGTTTAGCCTTTGGCTGACTGTTTGAAGAGTATTATTGAACCTCTCTAGGTAACTCATGATGGTTGGGTCAGGATGTGAACTAGAAGGAATAACCCCCATGATATTCTGCTGGACTGGTGGCATTTCGTGAGAAATGTCCTATACCTGGGGGATTGCTTCATTACCATGACTAGTTATCTCAGATTTTAAGCTGCGAGCCATTTGCTGTTATGGGACTGATTAGTCAAAGATTTCTCTGATGAAGAGTAGGTACTAAATCAAGCCCTCCTTCTAGTGTCAAACTATTGATGCTCGATTTTATCACCAACTACTCGCACGTGTGAAATGCTAGAAAGGTTTAGAAGTCACACATGATATGAAAAGATCAAATTAGATAAAGGGTGAAGAGCAATATTTAAAGTGGTTCGGATAATCAAAGGTGAATCCTACGTCCACTGCTATTGTATTAAAAAGAGAGTGATCCGATTGCGTTCAGCAAGCTGAGTTACAATGTGGAATGAGAATACAAGAGAGAGAGAGAGAGAGAGAGAGAGAGAGAGCTATTTCAGCGTAAAGTTGGCAAATCCCCTAAAATGAGAGGGAAGTCCTCCATTTATAGTGAGAGAGTTCAAGGTAATGATTATAAAAGCTGCAAGTAGGTAAGTGTCATACAAATCCTTCCTTGTGTCCCATTGATTACCTGCCCGAAGGTTTTCTCAACTAAAGTAAGGTTTTGACAAGTGGGCGATCTCTAGCCGCTGGCTGGACTGGCACTCACCTGCTGTGCTGACAAGAACCATACCACTTGCGCTAGGCGCGACGTGGCCGCACTTGGATGGCACAGAACCTCTTTAAACTCTAATTATCCTTTACTGACGAGACTCCATGTCAGCCCTACCTTTTCAGACATAACATAACTAATTCCAATTTTTTTGTCATTTACAGTTTGTATATAAAGCAATTTGGTATTATAATAAGATATGCAATAATATTTATTAGCTCAATTGATGTACCAAAAGATATGATTAGATTAAATCACTACAAGAAAAATAGCATTTGGCGTCTATCGAAAATAGACGCTAATAGTCAAATTTAGAGCCCGATTGTTTATTGCGTCTAAAATTCCTAGTCGTTAGCTAGTTGCAAAATCGCTATCACAGAAAGTATCTGTGGCTAAAATCATGGTTAGACGCCAAAATTTTTTCTTTAGCGACCAGCAATTTAGTTACTAATTGCCTCGAAAAATAATCCCCTACATTAGACGCCAAATGAATAAAGGTAATTTAGTAAAATTGCATCGTAACTATTGATTTAGTCGCAAATTGTAACTTTTAGTGACTAAAAAATGGATAGTAATTCCCAAAAAAATAGACGTCGAATGCTTAAGAATAATTTGGTAAAAGCATTTCACAACTACTTTTTCAGCTGCAAAATGCCTCTTTTAGTGACAAAAACTTTAGTTGTAATTGCAAAAAAATCTAATCAGTGAGTGTCCGAAAGAAATATGATAATTTCCTTTCCGCAACCATTAAATTAGTTGCAAAAAATGTGTTTTAATGACTAAATTATCAGTGACAAAAACAACTCAATTTTAATTGCTAAAAGTGTTTAGCCAATTTGCTTTCTTTGATTTCGCAACTAATCATTTGGTTAGGAAAATTGATTTTTCTACATCTAAGTGGTTTAATTGCCCAGAGTACATGAGATTTAGAAACTAATTTTTGTAATCAGTAATAATTGATTAGTCCAAGATTGTTTACTATTTCTGCAACTAAAATTTACTAGCAGATAGGATTACATTTAAGAGCAATGTTGCTGCTCCCTGTAATTCACCTGGTGAACACATTGAACATCAACAAAATAAGAGACAATACAAAAATGTGAATCAATAACATCAATTATTTTCATTGCATATAAAGTCAATAGTCCACACATGGATTTTTTAGCAACATGAGCAATAAAAATCCAAAAATGCACTATCATGTGTGCATAACCAAAAACAAAAATGCATAACCCAATTAGTTCGGTCACCTTTTGGAGCATTACCTTGGTGGAAAGCCAGAGTCTTTATCATCCCCACACCTTAACTATTGTGGTGAACAGGCCTATCCTTTCCTGTGGTCTTCCAATACCCAAAGTCAGTAGCACAATTCATTCTAACAAGTCTACAGAAGTTCATTTACATAGCAATAGAAGTTCATTTCAAATAATTGAAAATAGAAACCTAGAGGAATTTCATTTCTAACAAGTCTACAGAAGTTCAATTACATAGCAACAGTATTTGCAATAAGCAATTAGATTTTGGTTTGCTGCCTAGATCCCACGTTACAGAATTATAAAGACATTCAAGTAGTAGAAAACATCGAAACAAAGCATATGTCATAAGCATTATGTTAGAAAAAAAAAAAAAAAAATATTTCATTTAAATTTCAAGAAGTTATCAAAGTAGATTTCACAATTAACATATGACATGCATGAATCACGAGGAAACATTTAAAATGAAAGAGCACTTATTAAAGTAGTTGACCTTGGGCAAACTTTCACGCATTTCATCAAGCAACCATTGTACATATAAGTCATAAAATTATCAATTAACACTAGAAGTTTCAGAAAATGTGAAAACCATTTTAATAGATGCATACAGAGTGACCCATCCAGGTATATACAAAAAATGGAGCATCCAAATATTATAGTTATTTTTCGTGCAAATTAATGCTTTATCAATGACTGGAAGATGGAGAGATAATTAACAAGCACATGAACCATACAGAAACATACCTATAGTCAAAATAAGGAAAAAACTTATGAAGGGTATTCACAATTAGCTCCACAGTGGCATGATCTGCAGCTGCAGTATCGGTCGTGTGAGTATACTGAACTTGAATATTGGGGAAATAATTTTGACATAGCAAGCAATTAAGAAACATTCTAGTCCTATACTTGTGCATAATTTGCATGGAAACTTGGACTTCGCTTAGCATACTAAATGAACTTTGAGGTAAAAATAACATTGAATAAAACCTTAACAGCAACTTTTTGCCA